TGCATGTAATTCAACAATTTGTCAACAAGTTGTGAGTGCCACCTTGTAGCAACTTGATAAAATATCAGCATATACAGTAGTTACAAGTTATTGAAAGCTTCCTACAAACCTGTTGTGAACACTTCTTGTTGACAAGTTGTGAGAGTCGCGTAGATACGCCTAGAAATTCAAATGTAGTTCAACCTTCCTTTGGGTCCACAAAGGGGGACTGAAAACAAACACCAAGGGAGACTGAAAACTGTTGTATTAGAAGCCTTTAACGCATGTTCAAACTGTGGGCAAAGTCCAAATTTTTCAGCAATTCTGGGCGTAGTTAGAGTATATTTCCTTTTGGCATGTAGAGTGCATGCTGATGGCATATATCTTAAAGCCTGGCTTGGTTCATATGCTTAACTTGTGTTTGTTTGTTTTTTTTCCTCTCAGGCGAGAGCAGTTTGTACAATGGACTGAGAAACTCCCAGATTCTCAATCACCCTCGTGGCTTGGTTTACCCAACAACGCTGAGAAATTGCTGCTTACTGTGCAAGGTAATTAGAAGCAAAGTCTTCTTTAGTCATAAATCTTTAAACTTACTTTAAAAGTTCTTGCATGGGTTGAAAAAATATTAACAAGAGATATATCTCGTTTTGTTACCAACATCAGGACAGGCACTTACAGCTAAACTTCTGAAGATGCAAAATTTAGAAGACGAAGAGGAATTGGCTTATTCTCCTGGTCTAGCAAGGTCAGCGAACTAATTGTTGTTAATGTAATTTGAACTTAGTTCCGGATCTATTGGGAACGCGGTGTTGTTTAGCTTTTATTGCTCTAGTGTTGTGTAGTAATTGAAGATATGTATCTATTGTTGATTTTGCAGAAGTAATTCTCTGATCTCAAGTGATGCCCGTCCTGCTTGGATGAGAACATTGCACACCACCGCTTCTAATTGGCTTGCTATGGTACCAGAGGTAAGGCTAGCCATTATGTCAAGTGTCTGTTTTTTCCTACGTTTAGATAGCCTGCGGGCGATTTCATGGCATGCTAAGGTTTAGATGGATTTCATCAGAAGAAAAATCTAGGGGGGGGGGGGGGGCAAGTAGTAACTATTGGTATCATTATTCTGACATAAAACCGACCCGTGTAATAATACTTCCAGATTTGATAAAAGACATTACTTTGTAGAACCAAATAAGTGCACCACAATTATTATACAGGAAATGTACAGAAAGACTTCATTACCACACATTTTGCACTGTAGAAACTTGCTGCTTTGAAGCGAACCAATGAAAACATCAAAGATCCACTGTTCCGTTTCTTTGAACGAGAGGTAAGCCTGCAGTTTGATATATCGATCGACAAAGGTTACACTAATTTTCATGTTGACCAACTCTTCGAATCCGCAATGAAGGCTCATACTAATACACCCTTTCGATAATTGCGTCATTTGGCCTGGGAGCCTCGCTCTCATGAATCGTGAGCCAATCACCTTGCGTAATTTACTAATGAGAGCGAGGCTCCAAGACCAAAAAGTAT